CTGACAGCATCTCCTGACCCAGAGTAGCCCTTCATAAGTCCAAGACAGTGATTCTCATATCACTGAATTGGGCTTAGTGGTCCCTGGACTAAAGCCTCAGCATCACTGGAAACTCATAAAGGCAAATGATTCCCCGCCCCCCCCATAATCTATGGAATTGGAAACTCTGGGGCAGGGCCCAGCAATCTATATTTAAACAAGCCTTCCAGGTGATTCTGTGGGACGATGAAGCTTTAAACCACTGCTCTAAGCCAGTGATTCTCAACACTGGTTGCACATTAGAATCATTGATGCCCAGGCCCCACACAACCCACCTCCCCCCAAGATTCTAATTTAACTGATCTGGATTGGGGTCTGGCCAGGCAAGGGAATTTTGCTGAAAGCTCCCAGAGGATTCTGGTGTACAGGCAGGTTTGAGAAACACTAATGAAAGCCAATCAGTGTAATCCAGTCTAAAAAACTAAATTGCACTGTCAATGAAACGGATGCTTCCATTTCCATAATCTGACAGAAGACCAACGTGTCATTACCATTATTATAGCCATCGGTGGTTCCAAGAGAGAACTGCAGGCGGATGAACTGCTCTCTGCCACTAAATGGAGCAGAAAGCCCCTTTATTTTCTCAAGAGCAGCGTTGTTAGTAGCGTCAGGAGCGATGGATTTGCAAGGGGTGGTGCATACGCAGTCCAACAGCTGCTTAACAGGGGAGGCCCCCTCAGTTGGTATGCTTTGTATGGAAAAGGGTGAAAACCACTTGGGAAGAATTAGTAGTCAGCCAGGATATGAACTCATGCAATCTTAATCCAGAATCCAAGCCCTTAACTGTGGTTGACACATGGTCTCCTTTATGGAGGTTAGGACAAGGGAACAAGGGTGTTGTGAACAAGGGAAGGGAAGATACCTTCATGCCAGAGGAGGAGGAGAAGAGCCCTCATTTCATATACATACACAAGGCAATGTCTTTATGATTGCCTGTAACATCTAAAAGAACCAACATTTCTTTTTGTTTTGTTTAGTTTTGTTAATTCTCACCGGAGGATATTTTCTCCATTGATATTCAGAGAGAGTGGAAGAGACACACAGATTAGTCCCCATTGAGACTAATCTTGATGAGAGAAACACATCAATTGATTGCCTCCTGCATAGCACCCTGGCTGGCACCGAGGTATGTGCCCTTGACTATCTGTGGACCAACGCTCTACCCACTGAGCCAAACCAGCGAGGGCAAAAACCTACGTTTCTGAAGTCAACAATTTGTTTAGACCTAACTACTATGTCAATTACAATTTATAACAACTCTTCCTCCTTAACCTCAGAGAAATGTCCTCTCACTTATTGGGAGAAACCAACTGTGACGACTACATGAGCACACTTTATTTAGTGACAGCCCAGCTACTCCGATCTCTCTCCAGCTTCCAACGGGAAGCTCTCTTGTAACATAGGGCCTTCCTGGGGTGGGAGCTGGGAATACAGATGGATTTGCTGAAATTGGCCCTAAAGCAGAATTTCGTGGCAGGAGCTCAGGGACTATGTAACCCAGTTAGCCCCAATCCATCCTAGTAATTCTCTATTTTATCCATATATGTGTTTCCACATTGTAAGATGTAATTGATGATATGTGTTAGTTTTATAGTTCAAGCAGCATTTTCTTCTTCTTCAGTGGTTCATAAATAACAGTGTATCTTACAATGAATAAAATTGTAGATTGACAAAGTATGGTAATTACATTAAACATATATTGAATCCCACTATAGTTCAAGGTGTAGATTAGGCTAGAGATAGGGGAATGAATGAAATGGAATCCCTAAATCCAAGCAGCTGGAAGACAGAGAAACAAGTACATGCGACTCAGAGCTAAATATTTTGTGGGGGATGAAATGCCTGCTGTGGAGGCTGGAGCACACTCTGGGCATCCACTAGGTCAGTGGTCGGCAAACTGCGGCTCGTGAGCCACGGTTTGCCGCTCTGTTGACTAATGAGTTTGCTGACCACTGGGATAGGGCTTTAATCACCCGGAACAACAATAGCCTGTAATTATTGAAATCAAGAGTCTAGGTCAATGGTTGGCAAAGTCATTAGTCAACAGAGCAGTAAACCTCAGCTCACGAGTCACAGTTTGCCGACCACTGCACTAGGTAAAGTGGGGTGTGGTAGGGGGTAGGGGCATAAAGGAGAGAGGTGGTGAGAGATGAGATGCCAGACAGAAAGAAAAGATAGGCATAAACAAGGAGGTCAGAAAGACCTGTGTGTGAATCCCAGCTTCATCACTCACTACTCGGTCACCATGGACCAGTCTTTAACCTACTCATTGGTAACACTTCTTCATCTTAAAACAGGTACCTTTAAGATAAATGAGAAGATGCAGGGAAACTGATCAGTAGATGTCTGTGAACACAGCAGGTACTCAAGAGGGCGAGGATTCTCTGGTGATTATGATGCATGAACTGGCTCAAGTCCACTAGTAAGTAAATGCTTGCTTGTTTGTTTTTAACAGATACTCTCTACGGTAAACTAACGGTGACTACAAATTCTTACTAATTTCCCCGTAGAGAGGTGGAGTTCAATCCCTCACCCCTTGAACCAGGATTCGTCTTAGTGACTTCCTTGACCAACACAATGTGGCTGAAGCACTGTCTTGGGATTTCTAAGCCTAATGCATATGAAGTCCTGCAGGTTTTGCCCTGGCCTCATAGCCCTGAGCTGCCATGTAGGAAGAAGTCTGTACACCCTGGGGCCACTGAGCTGTGAGGAAGCCCCACTGTGTCATGAGAAAAGGCCTCAGGGGAAAATAAATGTCGGGCCAGCCCCAGCTGTTCCAGTCTCCAGCTGCTGGAGTTATTCCAGCCCAGATACGAGACATTGGAGTCTCTGCCAACCCCTGCCCAAATTGTATATTCGTGAGCAAAATAAATGTCTGTTATTGCTTTAAGCTACAAAGTTTTGAGGTGGTTTGTTATGCAACAAAAGATAATCAGAACACTCTCTTTATCAGCCCCCCCCCCACACACACACTCAAATTAAAAACATCAGTTTGCTGAGTTATATTAAGTCACATATTAAATTTATGTTGGTTCTGTAGTTCTCAAGTCTATTTTAGACACTGAAAAACATTTTGTTTGTGGACATTGTTAATCTAGGCATGACTTACTAATTGGTTGACCAATGATATATGTGAGCTATTATGTGTGTATGTGTGTGCATGCATAGCAGATATTTTCCTAAATATCCAATTCCTCTCATGAGAAAAAAATGTTACAATTAACAGTCCTTCATCTCAATGAGCTTGTGAAAATCATGCTCTGAAGTCATACTAATTGAATCTAATGCCTGAGTGCTCCACCCTCCCAGCTCTGTACAAAGCTGGGTTCTAGCCCACAGTCAGCTACCCAGTATTCAGAGCAGCTTATCAAAGGCCACTATCTACCTTCCTCCTAACCAGTAGGAAACTGCCTACAATACTCTGGGCTGCTTGCATTGCTAGGTGAGTTTGCAAGGAAAGTGTTAAGGCAGAGTTGATTTATGCAGCGATCCAAATAATCTTTGAGGAAACCCCTTTAGGTTTTGCATATGCTCTACTTTGAAAGGGCCTTGTGACAGCATAAGACTCGACTCAAACCATGGAATACTCATTTTATGCCTTTCAAATAATATTGGGCCTTATAATATTATGCAAACTTTGGGGCATATAATCAGCATAGGTGAAAAACATTTTGCTGCCTCCCAAATTGACTATCCTCTTTTCCATTTCTGGTTCTTCTGTCTGCAAAGCCTGTATTCCCTTCGTGTGTGTGTGTGTGTGTGTGTGTGTGTGTGTGTGTGTGTCTGAGTGTGTGTGTAAAATCTTATTTATCCTTCAGATGTCCCCTCTCCCAGCAAAGCAGAATTAATCATTCCTTGATGACATTGCGTCTTCAATCTGTAAAGCCCCCCCCCCCTTTTTTTTTTTTTTTAACAAGAAAGCTTATCATTAAAAATAAAAAGAAGCAACAATAAACCCACAGTCCTATGGAATACATGGAGAAAGGACATAAGAGTCCCTATAACTCTTGGCGACAATCCACCAGGCTGAAAATGGGTTGACGTGATCTGTGTTTCAGGGATTATAATTCAGCAGCAGAAATAAGTTGATTAAAATACCATCCAGAATGCTGTCTGTAGATAAAGTGCTTTGAACTGGGGAGCAATATAACCTGAATTGCTAAATTCTAAGGGCTGACTGGTGATTTGCATCTCAATCTCTTTTCATGCTATTTTCTTGGCAAAAGTTAATAAGGAGCCACTCAGCCTAAGAAAGATAGGCCCTCCATTTACCTCGGCAAGAACCAGACATACACAGTGAATTCCAGCTTTCCCCAACTCAATGGCTTTTGTTTGACCTGGAGTGGGTCATTCTGAACATCAAACCCACCAACTGGAATTGGTTTTTACATTCATTCATTAACGATTCCAGTGTCAAAGGCTAGACAGGCACTAAGTAGCACCTGACACTTTGTCGCACAACCCCCGAGACACAAGAGCAACATGCAGAGAGTCATAATTGAATACTTTTCACTCTGTCACCAAACTTAAAAAAATTACATTTTCAACACTCATTATTTAAGAACATGCATAACTATGTAAAACATTCCAAGCCAAAGGCTGTGCAGATACTACGTCCATAAAACACAGCCTACCATTCCCTCTCCATGGGAAACTTACAGAGGGTCACATTGGAACAACCTTTATTCTACCACAAAAACAAGAGCAATAGTGTTTTTAACACTCATTCTTGAGTTAACTATGCTGAAAATGTCAATTTAGAATTATTGTAACAGAATCTACATTACAATAGATACCCAAGGCAATAGAGTAACTTAGAGAAAGCAGAGGGAAAATTCACTGTCCTCTCTCATTGACCAAACCCTGGTCTTCCTCCAGAAAGTGTATAAGTTTCTGGCACTCGATAAACAATAAATAACATTGGTATATTCTAGGAGAGAAGAAAGGCGACATCAACTTACTTAACAGTTGGCAATAGAGGGCCTGTAAACTTCTCTTCATGGTATCATCTGGTCCTGCTTGTCCTCCAGTTTATTCATGATTCTGTCTGGGAAATTGGGAGAAGACAGCTGTTACATCAAGTCAATAATCGGAAAGAACTTCACATGAACTTAGTTGTAAAGGCTAAAACACCTGCCTCTGAAGACTGGATACACCATAGTTTAATTGACAACAGCATATGTTATAAAACTCCCCGTAGCCAATTGGTCAAATCCTGAGACTATGCACACCACTGAAGGAAAATTATATGGGTAACTAGAGAGTAAGAATCAGACTTTGGAGCTTTTGAGGCTTCCAATTAATGTCCCCGAATCTCCTGAAATAAGAGAAACAAAAAATCTCTTTTAAAAAATATTTTTATTGATTTCAGAGAGGAAACGAGAGGTAAAGAGAGATAGAAACATCAATTGAATTAGTGATTGGCTGCTTCCTGTACACACCCTACTGGGGACTCACGCAACTGCAATCAGGGTATGTGCCCTGACCTGGAATTGAACGATGACCTCCTTGTTCATAGGTTGGCACTCAACCATTGAGCCACACAGACTGGGAGAAACAAGAAATTTCTAATCTCATTTCCACTATGGTGTTCAATAAACAAAGAACCCAAAAGTCTTTTGATTGAAACTTATACCAAACAACTTTTCTGTTATTTTCTGTTACAAAAGATACCTCTAATACAGAATATTTGGATAATATAGCTAAACAGAAAGTATAGGTAAAAAGATACAAGAACATTCAAATGATCTATCTCTTCAGCCTTTCTATTGGCCATTTCCATTTATGGATTATACTGTATATGCTAAGTTTATCTCCCTGTAACTATTACTTTACTAGTTTATTTTAAATGGCACACAGCATTACTTTAAGTAAATTCCTAGAAATGGAATCACAAGGACACAACTTACAGCTTTTGAAATATGTTGCCAAATTGACATTCATCAATATCAGTATCTGAGAATATCCCTTAGATTACAACTTACCCAATGAGAAAATTTTATAATTTATTTCCATCTTTGCCAAGGAAATAGGCAAATGTTCTGTCGCATTGCTTTAGTTTGTATTTTATGTATTTACTAGAGGCCTGGTGCACGAAATTTGTGCACGGGGGCGGTGTGTGTGTCCCTCAGCCCAGCCTGCACCTTCTCCAATCTGGAACCCCTTGAGGGATGTCCAACTGTCCATTTAAGCCCCTAACCATTTCTGCCTGCCAGCCTGATCACCCCCTAACCACTCCCTGTCAGCCTGATTGATGCCTAACTGTTGCCCTGTCAGCCTGATTGCCCCTAACTGCCCGCCCCCCCTGTAGGCCTGGTCACCCCTAACTGCCCTTGCCTGCAGACCTGGTCCCCCACAACTGCCCTCCCCTTTTGGCCTGATTGCCCACAACTGCCCTCCCTTGCAGGCCATCTTGTGCCCACATGGAGGCAGACATCTTTGACCACATAGAGGCAGCCATCTTGTGTGTTGGAGTGACCTTCAATTTGCATATTACTCTTTTATTAGATGGGATAGGGGCTTGGTACATGAATGGGGGCCGGCTGGTTTGCCCTAAAGGATATCTGGGATTAGGGTGGGGGTTCCCTTGAGGCATGGGGTGGCCTGGGCGAGGGGCCTGTGGTGGTTTACAAGCTGGCCACACCCCCTGGCGACCCAAGCAGAGGCCCTGGTATTATTTATTATTTATCTTCTATAATTGATACTTTGTAGCCTTGAGCAGAGGCCAGGGCCGGCCAGAGCGGGCAGGAAGCTTGGCTTCCTCCATTATTGGGGAAACCCAAGCCTCCTACTCGCTCCATGGCTGCAGTCATCTTGGTTGGGTTAATTTGCATACTCTCTCCTGATTGGCTGGTGGGCATAGCTTGTGGGTATAGCGGAGGCACAGCCAATTTGCATGTTTCTCTTTTATTAGTATAGATTAGAGGCCTGGTGCATGAAATTCATGCACTGCTGGGCTGGGGGGGAGGGGAATTCCTCATTTTACTACATTCCAGAAAAATAATCATTGGGATTGTAGTTGGAATTATCTTCTATTTGCTTTATTACTTTAAGAGAGACCTGATCTCTTCAGAATCGGAGTGTGGTAAGGAGAAAAGAAATGATATTTTAGACTGTTGCTCCAGAGATCAGAATTCTTCTCAGAGGTGAGAAGTGCTATTATTTTGGAGGGGGTGTGGCATAGTTCAATTTCTTCCTTGCTTAGGAAAACTGAAGTTTCCAGAGCCCCTGGTGTTGTCTGGATGAGTAAGAGGAGAGAAAGAGATAGTTAAGCTCCTCTCCATTATAAAATAACAGGAGGTTTGAGTTCCCAAAAGCTATGAAGGAGGGGTTAAGTGATTCAGAAATCAGAGAGGCTGAGATGATAAATGATGTTAAGAGGCAGAAAAAAGGCAATTCTAGAAAACAGCAGCAGGTGGGAGCTAAGAATAAAGGATAAAGTGAGAATTTCTCCACAGGCTTTAAGATGTGTAAAACTTAATTTTTCCTTGTGTCTTTTTTATGCTTTTTGTATTTATGTACTCTGCCTTCGTTCTCCTCCACAATGCTTATTCAGCACTAGCACCCTTAAAACTTCAGAAAAAGTCTTATACAAAATAGTCCTGTATTGGTGGTGCTCAGCTGGGCATGAAAGAAAAAACACCATAGCCCAAAACAAGGGTGACCAGAAACAGAGGTAGGAGCCATTGGCGTCCAAGCAGTGGTTAGTAGACATCTACGGAGGGCTTAGGACATGCTAAGTACTCATAAATGTACAGTGATTAAATACATGGATAAATGAATGACCAAGTAACAGGAGAGCAGATAAATAGTTTAGTTTGTATTGATCAAGAAGAACATCTCTTGCCCCTCGATCATCTCTGGAAGTTCTTAGAGGTTTTTTGAGAAATGGCCTAGGGCCATTTTATTCACATGTCAAGAAAAGACTAAGACCATATATACCTGGGACACTTGGGATCATCTGGGTTACATAGGGCCAGTGGTCGGCAAACTCATTAATCAAACAGAGCCAAATATCAACAGTACAATGATTGAAATTTCTTTTGAGAGCCAATTTTTTTTTTAACTTAAACTTCTTCTAATGCCACTTCTTCAAAATAGACTCGCCCAGGCCATGGTATTTTGTGGAAGAGTCACACTCAAGGGCCACAGCCCACTATAAGCATCACATGGCCTTGGATACATTCAAAACTATGTTTATTTAGGCCTTACTGTGGAGTTTTGCAGTGTTTTTCCTTCATTTAAGCTCTATGGTCTTATTGAGTTAATTCCTAGGCACTTTATATTTATTCATTTTGCCTCTATAATGGTCTTTGTGTTCCATTATATTTCCTAATTGCCTCTACATGAAAATGACTGAGTTTGTATATATTTATTTTATGACCTAACTGAACTCACTCACTGTTATAATGATGGTTTCTCGGCTGATTCTCTTGGGTCAATTGTGCTGTCTTGGATGGATGAGAGCCACAAGGAGATCCCATCAAAAGTCTCTTTTTAACTGCGTAGTTGAAAACGTTAATTGTATCGAGTGCCTCAGGGAATAATTTAGGAGCTTCGAGGATGACAACTAATTTCTGGAATGAAATCTTAAGGAAGTACGGAGTTTTACAGCCAAAAGGCTGAATAAAAGCAAAAAGAAAGAGGAAGGTGATGAAAACCTGACTAACCATGCAAAGACAGTAGCACAGGTACTCACTGATTATTAGCTCAGGAGAGACAAGGGGGTGCAAGTAACCTGAACCCTTCTCTCCCTAAAGAGAGCAAGCCTAATAGAAGGCTGCCTCTCCCATTGGCTTCAGTGGGACATTACATCCATTCCATTGGCTTAGGAGAACATTTATCTTTTTCAGGTCACTGAAAAGATTCCAATTAAAAGCGTCCATTTAGCAAGGAAAAAGCAGTAGAAAGCCAAAAGAAAAGTCTGATATTTGACATAGAAATTGACTTGAAATGACAAATTTATTGAGAAAAAAGTATGAAAGAATAGTTAGAAAAATCCTGGAAAACAAAACCAAAAAAACTCACAACAAGATAGGGTGAGGGAGGAAAGAGTTGCCAGCCCTACCAGACATAACATACTCTAAAACCTCTATAATTAAAACAATTTGATGCTGACACATGAATAGACCCAATTTTATATGGAAATTTAGGATATGATAAAGGCAGCATATCAAATCAGTGAGCAAAAACATAAACCTTTAAATACACATTGTTGAGAGAATGGCACAGTAATGTGGAAAAGAGATAATTGTTCTCATTCCAAATACCAGGCACCAATGTAAGTTCCAAATGGGCCAGAAATTTAAATGAAAAAACAGTAAAGAAAAGAATATGGGTAAATTCTTCTATTACTTGGGAATAGAGAACCTTTGCTAACTTGGAATCAAAGTTTGAAGCAATAAGAAAAATGATAAACTCTATTATATAAAATGTTATAGAAGTAAAACATACAATTAAGAAAAAATACAAATAAATTAGAAAAATGTTCAACGTATAACAAGCAAAGAGTTAATATCCCTAATTTTCTGTAACCCCCAAATCAATACTTCTGGTGCTTTAGCAATCATTTGCAGAGATATGCAGGGTGGAGAAAAATGTGAGTTGTCCAACATGCCATGTTCCTAGTTGAGGTCAAACAAGGCAATATTATCCTCTTGTTTCAGATTTTACACTGTGAACAAGTATCCTTTCTCCTGGCTCTTTAGTGCCATGCTTTCAGTATTTTTGTGCTTTTTGAAATGACCCCCAAACACGGTGCTGAAGTGCTGTTTAATGTTCGTAAGTGACAGAAGACAGTGATCGGCCTTAGCCAAAATGCATTTCTTAGATAACCTTTGAACTCCAGGCATGTTATAATGTTGTTGGCCTGGAGTTCAAAGTTACTGAATCAAAATATATATATTAAGTAATGTATCTTTAAACAAAAACATATAAAACAAGATTATGTATTTATTAGTTGACAGAAATATGACCAACAATCTAGGCCAAAAATCCAGGCC